TAATGAGATCTAATTGATCGGATTCATATTTAATCAGATCTGATTGATCGGATTCAGATCATCCCTATTACTTATAAAAAAGACACACACACATATATAATTTTTTTATGAAAATAGTTGAAACAAATGCTTATATTTTTTCTTTTTATTTATATAAACTTTTTTCTTTTAATACTTTATTAATTTTTCATAATTAGAACCAAATTGGATCAGATTCGGATATCCAACATTCTTAACAGATTCATATTAGAATCACCATTTATGAGATCTAATCGGATCTTTTGATTGGATTGGATCTCGGATTATTCTATTGGATCAAGATTGGATATACCCCTTATTTGAACCCAATCCAATCCGTATGCATCCCTAAACCAATCTAAAGGTTAAATTGTTTCTCTAGGTTGTAGGTCAACATTTTAAATGTCCAAGTCGGATGGACCAATTTGTGGCATGTCATCAATAATATAAATATATATTATACATAATAAATAATATATAATTATGTTTTACATGTCATATATGTTTTATTTAATTTTTTTATAAATAAAAAGCTAAAAATTAGGATTTTGAGCCAAAAAAATGGATTTTTTGGCAAAATTAGTGGTGCAAGGCACCTTTTCACTGTGGAATGCACATATCTCAAAGAATTACACACAAATAAAAAAAGTCATCCCAATAGAACAATCTAGTGGACCTCATAGCCACACCCCATCCTGTATTGGAAACATCGCCCCATGAATAAAAAATGAAAGTACCTGATGTTCGGCCAAGACATACTGTGAGGTCAGTGTGAGGTACGCTCTATAAGGAGAAGATCCAGGCTCGTGCAAAGTAATTCCCCCCCCCCCCCAAAAGTTGTCACTTGTAATTTGTTACCCAATGACTATGTCAAGTGGATAAATGGTTTAACTGCCCAATTTGAATGAGTTTTTGCTAAGTTAGCGATTTTTTGTCAAATCCCAAATTTAGGAAAATATTTTAGTAATCAATTTAAGTTTTTCTTAATGTAATTATTTTAATATTAAATTTTAGTTTTTATTGATGAATTTTAATTATTTAATTATATTTTTTAATTTTTAATTATTTAATGTTTTCTATTAGTGATTTAATAACAATTATATAGCTATAACTTCTTCAATTGATTAGGCTTGATATGGTTAAAATTGAGAACCTAGCTAACTAATGAACCAAGATGATAGAACAAGATTTCATAACCAATTTGATTTGGTTTGGTTTTATGCGATCAATTTGGTAACACTAATATTAATATTTATAAACTCATAAATAACATATTAATATTAATATTTATAATAATATGTATTACTATTTATGAACTTATAATATTAACAATATATAATAATATATTATTTATTATTACTGAGTCAATGAGTTTTAAACAAAGTTTTAGGCAAACTGGACCCGAAATCAAAGCCAAGTGATATTTCGGATAGTTTGACCACCCAAGTCAATGATAGATTTAATACACTGGTTTGGATATAGAGATAGGATGAAAGATGATCATTTCATATCGATATAAGCCAAGCAAACCCTTAAATAGGTCATTGGTTCAACCACTTGAGTCAAATGGATTTTGTTCAAGTCAATAGTTTTTAAGCTAATGGTGAATTTGATATTGACCTAAACTATAATTATGGTCAGGTCACCATTTTATCGGTCTAACTCACCACGTCAAGGACGATTTGCAAAAAAAAAAAATGTCTACATACATACATACATACTGGTATAATATTTTATTAAATATATATTTATTTCTCTCTCTCTCTCTCTACACACATATATATATATATATATATAATATTTATGAATTTAGAAAAAGTTTGTATATTTTTCTATAATTTTTATTTTATTAATTTATGGGCTACCTAACTCAAATGCCAAGCCTTAGACATACAATATCAGGCCTAATGTATGGGAAATCAATTCTCGCAACATTAAAAGCTATTAATGGTATATAAAAACTTGACCTAAGAGTATCCTTAAGTAGGACTTAAATGGAATTTTGTTAAAATTTGTTTTAACCTATTACCCATTGTTTAAATGTATCAGTTCAACAAATCTATCTATCAAAAAAATCCAACAATTCAAATGTCTAATTGATTAGATTATTTTAAATTAAATAAACTTTAAACAATGATTATAAGAAAATGTCACTACAAAAAATGTCCTAGAATGAAGATATTGTGATTTTAATTTCTAAAAAATATTTAGTTGTTTATTACTAAAGATTAAGATTTTGTAACAAATACCTAATTTTCCATCACTATAAATAAAGATTTTGTGACTGGCATTAAAGTATTTGTCACTATAAATCAACTTTTATAATTTTGTGATGGACATTAAAGTATTCGTCACTATAATTCAACTTTCGTAATTCTATGTCCGTCACTATAAATCAATATTTAGTGACAATGATTAAATTTTCTGTAACTATAAGTCAATTAATTGTGACTGATGATAATTGTCCATCACTATATATCAAAATTTTGTACTTCTGTGACAAACATTTAATTATCCGTCACTATAAATCACGATTTGGTGACAGAACGTCAACCATCCATTGCTATAGTCTCTTTATAGTGACGAAAAATCGATTTGTCACTAAAGATTGTATTTATAGTGACGACACACTAAATTCGTCAGTATAAATTATTTTTAGTGACAGACATCACTATATGTTCGTCACTAAAATCCATTTTTCTTGTAGTGATTCAAATATTTGGAAATTTTGATATTTGTTCATACTATTTTATTTATCACTTATATATAATGAGAAACTACATATGGGTTTTGGATCTAATGCAAGGAGGGTTTAGAATTTATAAAACCCTTCTTATACCCCACCACTATCCCTAGACTTGCCATCTTAGCCTTCCATTCCAATGATCCTATCATGAGACTTGTTAGGCTTGCATTTGAAAAAGGGTAAATTTATGATTTTGGAAGGGTATGATACCATGCACAGGCCCTCGCGAATTTTGAATTTTGTATGCATATCTCTTGATTGATTACTACAAGAAGTTCGAGATCCTACCAACGAGTCGAACTAGGACTATCAATGGGTCGGGTCTGCCCGATGGATCTGAATTGATGAAAACAATTATAATTGGTTTTGGTTCCATGATTTTGTTACAATTAATAATTGGGTTTGTTTTCGTTCTTGCATGTTTTGAACCAATTTAGATCCGAAACTATTTATTTTATTTAATATATACATATATATATATTTCTTTTTTTTTTCTTATAAATTTTATCATATTTTATGTTTGAAACAGTAAATTTGATAGATAATAAATAAAACAGCATTAGTTAAAAATGTTTTACTTATTAACATATAAATAGTTTAGCATTTTTGTATAAAGGTTATATTATCAAAATTTAACTTTTAAGTTATTATTTAAATAAACAAATATATTTTTCAATATAATTAGTAGGTCTGTTGGGTCTGGAGCCGACTATTAATCTGGATGGTTCTGGGTATGTGATTTTGTCCCAATTTAGGACTAAATCTACTTATACCTAACCCATTGACAATTGTCCTATAGAGAGAGAAAGAGAGAGAGAGAGAGTAGGAAGTAAAGGTTCGTGTTCCTTTATCCGTGTGAATCTAGATTGGACATGGAGCATAAAATTGATTAATAATTGGTTCAGGACTGGTTCTACCTAGACCTAATTCAGACCTAAGGTGTTATCATCCCTAAGTCAATTGAACATAGAGCATGAAACCGACCTATTACTTATGGTCCATGGGGTCGGGTTGGGATCAGAAGTTGGAGTCCGGATCACCTGCCAACAAAACACATTCCAACCCTTTACCAACATGATCTCACACTTTACATATCATACATGGCAGGTCCCACTTTAATGGTGCACCCCAGTATCATGGTGAGATGTGCAGTGTGAGATCAGGTTGGTTGGTAGAGGGTTGGAACGTGTTTTATTGGCAGAAGATCCTAACTTCGGCAGTTGAGTGTTAAATACCTAAGCTGACCATCCCAAGAAAAATTAGTCTAAAGTGCTTTTTGGGTCGGGTGAAGCCTTCCAAACCGAATCCATCCAGTTGGAAATCACCCAACTCCAGTAGGGTCATTGAGGTGGGGACAGGGGACAACAGTAGTACGATGGGGAAAAATCTTTGGCTGTTGGGAGCCAATAGCTTTTCCTGTTGAGAGAGTTTCTGAGTTGGTCACGTTACCATGAGAGTGGGCAAATTAGTAATTGCCCATTGATTTATTTTGCATGGTTTTCAAAACCAGACCAGAAAAACTGGGAACCATGACCGGTTCCGTTTTTTCCCAAAACTGGATTTTCTCCAAAAACCATTGCTTTTGGTCAGCAAATCACTGACCCTAGCGATTAACCATTTGAACCGTTCGAACTATTTTGATCATTTTTAAGTTTTTTTATTTTTTTTAATTTTTTGTCAGAACGGACTGACTATTTGATTTGAATGGTTGGACCATTCGACTCAGAAACCAGATCCTAATCAGTTCGTTCTTCAGATCAATTTTAAAAACTTTATTATTTTGAGTAAAAGCAAAAGCATGCTCCTAAACGGTGAACTGCCGTGAACGTGCCCAACCGAGAAATTCTCTCAACAGAAAGGCTGTTGGCGCCCCGCCCCCAACAGCCAAAGTTAACCCGTACGATGGGTGTGTGGACTTAGGCGGTTAGCCAAAATAAAGTGAACCGTCAGGATCAGATGATTGCATGCATCTGCGTGACAATGGGAGGAGCAGCTACTCGCCAAGCAGGAGGTGGGTCCACCATTCACCTACCACAGAAACTGTTATAGGTCGAATTCTCTATGGTTCTACTCGTGATACTGGACCATTCACAACTCACCACATCATCTCCATAATATGGGATCCACCGAAATGATGACGAGGCGTATTATGATTGGCTAGTTACCCTCCGGTTCGCGAAGAGAAATGGAAGGAGGGAGTCGTTAAACAGAGAATTGAATACACAATGAGACCAACAATTAACAAAATATAGAGAGAGAGAGAGAAAAGGAGAAAAAGGAAGAGGAGTCTTGTGGAAGTTGGAAATTGGAAGCGAACATGAATGGGGGATGAGAATATGCCGTTTTGCGATGCCAAAGCCAAACCGCTCTGAGAAATCCAATTTCCTTCTCTTAAAAGCTCACATGCTCCCCCCTTTCCATTTCTCCTTCTCGTATCTCTTCTTCCCTCGTTCAGGTATCTCTCTCTCTCTCCCCTCTCTAGTTTACATCTTTCTGCATTATATATTCAATTGGAGGTTGCTTCTTTGAACTGGAAACTGGAGCTGGAAAGATTGGCTTCTTTTAAGCAGTAATTTGGTATGCGAAGCAATCATGTCCTCTGTGTGTGTGTGTGTTCACTTTTTGTTTTCTTCTATTATATACTTTCCTTTTGGGTTTTGGTTTGGTCTAGACTCTATAGAGTTCAACATTGGGGGAGAGCCCTATTGTTTGCTCTGGGTCTTGGTCTCTGGTTTTCTCCCTCTATGTTATTTCCTGTTTGAAACACCTCTGAATTAAAGCCCTAGTCTGATCTCCTGTAAGTGCTTAAGAACTTTGAACCATCTCAATTAAGGAAAAAAACCTCACAATCGTTACATGAAATTGATATAAGAATTTTGTTATGCAACTCTAAGTAGTACTGGTGGTAATGGTGATGTGCTAATACTTAAAACCTTTCCTTAAGACATCCTGGCCGTTTACCTGAATAACATTAGTGCAACGTGGCGGTTGGGTTTTGGTTAGAATCTCTGTTCATTTACCGTTCTTCTTAAATGCATTATTTACTAAAAAATATTTCGTTGATGATGTGACACGATACAAATAGGTCCCCCAAAACAGTTCAGCCTACATGAATAAGAGAAAAATTGCATTCTTCAGGCCGTTCTTGTTGTTGAGTCCAACAAGGCTGCGAGGCTGTTGAGTTGCTATGCTCCTCCATGTTTCAACCATCAATTTAGTTTGATGGCTAAGTATCATATTTTAAAGTTCCCTAGATGTTGATGTATGTTTGAATGGGATGATACTATGAATGTGAGCTCAGTAAATGTTTGAAGAATAGATCACTTGTGAGGTATTTGTTTTCTATATTATTTTCAGTGTATAAATTGACCTATGTATGAGTGAGATCATACCAGCACTAATGCACCGGATACCAAATTGATCTTCATATATGGATACTGTGTGTAATTGTTCTTACATTCTAACTGAATTTGTACCCATGTTAAAAGTGCATTCACTATTTTAAATTTCCGCATTTGCACCTGGAATTGTAGACTGATCTTACTGGTATGAAGATTATTCTCTTATAGATTTTGTATGTGGATTCAGACTCAAGGTTGGAGAGCTTTTACTTAGGCTGGTTGTGCAACCAACTGGGTTCAGTTCATCTGCAAGTATTTGAAGCAAGTGATTTAACGTGAACAGCTGTAGAAGTGGTTGATGGGCTCCAATTAGTAGTCTCTTGGTTTACTGGATATTCTCAAAATGGAGAGGGTCAGGATGATTCTGACTCCTGCATATCCATATCCACATGAACATTCACGTCATGCTATAATTGCAGTAGTGGTGGGGTGTTTATTCTTTATATCATCTGATAACATGCATACACTTATACAGAAGTTAGACAACAATATCAAATGGTGGTCAATGTACACATGTTTACTTGGTTTTTTCTACTTCTTTTCATCTCCATTTATAGGGAAGACAATTAAACCAAGCTATTCAAACTTCAGTAGGTGGTATGTGATATTCTCTAAAGACCATAATTATCTGCAATTGATTTTGCGTTTCTAGTCCTTATTTGTTGTTCTTATTTAGTTTATAACTTCAGGGAGTTACTTCAGTGGTAGGGTAGCAGTTGGTGTTGCTAACTTTAGGTGTTGATTTCTTTCCAGGTACATAGTTTGGATCTTAATTGCAGCTCTATATCATCTTCCAAGTTTTCAATCAATGGGAGTGGATATGAGGATGAATCTCTCTCTATTCTTGACAATATATGTCTCATCTATTCTGTTTCTTCTTGTTTTCCATATTTTATTTCTTGGCCTCTGGTATATTGGATTCGTTGCTCGTGTGGCGGGAAAACAGCCAGAAATCTTGGCCATTATCCAAAATTGTGTAGTAAGCACTGTATCTTCTTTTGGCATTTCACCGTTAACATTTGTTTTAATTTTAAATTTAATTTCTTATGGTTCCACAGGTGAATCTTATCCTTGTCTTGATTTTCTTATCCTAATGCATACTTTATGTGCTAAAAAATATCCTTATCCTTATGCAGGTGATAAGTATAGCCTGTTGTGTATTTTATAGCCACTGTGGCAACCGTGCTATTTTGAGAGAGAAAACTTTTGTAAGGAAAAATTCTAGTTGGTTTTCTTTTTGGAAGAAAGAAGAGAGAAATACATGGCTGGCAAAGTTCCTCCGTATGAATGAGTTGAAGGATCAGGTTTGCTCATCTTGGTTTGCTCCAGTTGGTTCTGCCAGTGATTACCCGTTTTTGTCCAAGTGGGTTATCTATGGGGAGGTATACATGGATGATAGTTTCCCTTGGTAGGATCTTTTGTGTTTTGAGTGTGCCACCTTTTCTGTTCATCTTATTCTACTCATTTTTCTGTTTTCAGTTAGCTTGCAATGGGTCATGTGCTGGTCCTTCAGATGAAATCTCTCCCATATATTCATTGTGGGCTACATTTATAGGTTTATACATTGCCAATTATGTGGTGGAACGATCTACAGGGTATGTAGTGATTTATATTTTTACTATGCAAAATATTGTAAATTCTGACTTTGTTGGACTTACAAAGATCAGAGGAAGGTTTATGTTTGCATTAGGTACTCTTCTACCATTTCATCTAAAAATTACCTACTGCAAACTAGCCTGATTGGATAATTTTTACTATCAAGTAGATTTACTTTGACCATCTTATATCTGGTCTAGGAAAATCTCAGGATGTGCAGATGGACAAGATCCTGCAATTTAGCTGACTTGGAATCTATATTTATGTACTTTTTGTCACAACTATCAATACAGATCTTTTTTTTTCCTGATCACTTGCCATCACTGACTAACTATCCTAATCCTTATTAGTTAACTCAGACACCATAGCCATCAATAGCTTTACTTATTTATTCATGATCTTGGAAATTGGCAGATGGACTCTTACTCATCCTGTGTCAGTTGAGGAATATGAGAAATTGAAGAAGAAGCAATTAAAACCTGATTTCTTGGATATGGTTCCTTGGTATTCGGGGTATGTATTAGTTAAATTCTGATCATCTTTTACATGAAGAAAAGAGGTTCATTACCAATCCTGACAGCACTGGCAGCGATATGTTGCAGGACGTCTACTGATCTCTTCAAGACAGTTTTTGACCTTCTGGTATCTGTAACTGTATTTGTTGGTCGTTTTGATATGCGTATGATGCAGGTATATTTCATTATATCCATTGTAATAAATTCCCTTTTTTCCTACTGTAAATAGTAAAAAAACTAAGAAAAAACCTGGCTTCAACCATTATAAGCCTACCTCCCAGTTTTTTGAAACTCAGGAAACATCTCTTATAGTACATACACACTTCTTTGAAAGTAAGGATAATTAGTATTGTTGTGGTTGGAGAGAAAGGGGAAAAAGTCCATTCAGAGCTAATATGTGGTCTTAACTGCGATTCATTAACAAGGATGTAGAAGACAACATAATGTTGTTCTGGATAGAATCTAATGGTGTAAGAGGATTTAACAGAATTTTAATGTTGTCTTTACTAAAATTATAATTGGAAGATTTTCATGAAACTTTGTATGCATGAGGTGTGAGCCTCTAGGCATGAGGCTTAAGCGATGAAAAATATAGAAACATGCATAGTAGAAGTATTATGCAGAGAAAACATATAATTGAATAAATGATCACATAAACAAAAGAGTTGAGGATGTGAGGAGCTTTAGAGAAGGCCATAATACATATAATTACTACTAAGAAACTCTGAATGTTAAATAATACCTCTATATCTATATATATACCTACACAAATGGAATCTTAAGTTGTGATAATTGTGCATTGACCTCAAGGAATAAATCTATGCTTTTATAAAAATTTATTAATAATTTAATCCATTTTATTTTTAATACTATATTCTTTTTTTCTCTCATCTCTGTATATTTTGAATTTTTACCTGTGGAGGTCCAAAAGAAAATTTGTGCAACTTCTCTAGAGAGAATTTCCTTTCTAGAGCAATTATTTAGATCAAGATTTCTAAGTATGTTATTTTTTTGCACTAAGCTTTATTATGGCCCTGGGGTTTTAAACTATTTTAGTATTTCAGCACAATTATCTTATAATTTTTATTTGACTTGAATCAATTAATAAATGAAATGTTTATATGTTTCTTATTAGTAATGTCTGTGAATCTCTCTTTCTCTCTCTCTCTCTCTCTCGTTTCGCCAAATATATGTTTTTCCATGTGTTCTTTTTTGTTACATTTTATGTTTTTATGACTTTTTTTTTTTTTTTTCAAATGAGTAATACACTGAACTTTATGGTTTTTTATGACTTTTGTGAAAAGCATATTCTTCTCTTTTTTAATGTTTTCTGCAAGATAGCTCTATTATGTGAATAAAATTTATATTTCAGAAATTCCTTTCTTTTATATCAGGCTGCAATGAGCAAGGTTGAACATGGTGTTGAAGAAGGCGATCTTTTATATGATCATTTTAGTGAAAAGGAAGATATTTGGTTTGACTTTATGGCTGATACAGGAGATGGTGGAAACTCATCCTATGCTATTGCTCGACTACTTGCCCAGCCTTCTCTTCGTCTCTATAATGATGAATCTGTGCTTGTCCTACCACGTGGAGACTTGCTTCTTATTGGAGGGGATCTTGCGTAAGTTGGTCCTTCTTTCCCATTTATGCTCCTTATAGGGGAAGAAATTGAATTACAAAAGACCAGTACTTGATCAGCTACCCATCAATGGAATGCTTGCCCATTTTATGTTGTTTTCTGTGATCTAATTGTACAAGTACCATGATTTCCTATATGGATGATAATAGAAAGGAATAGTTATTGTAACTTTGATGAAATTAATATCTGAATCTCAAATAATTGTTATATGGCCAAATTTCAAACCTCTATTTGGGTGATCTAGAATCTTGAGGATTCAAGCTAAAAGGCTTTGAATCAATAAACATTGATGATTTAGACTGATTTCAAACCTGCCAATTTTCAGAAAACTGGCAATCTGAAGGAATTTTATCCTCACAAAGACACTACAGAAATTTACTAAGTTTACTCTTCTTACCTTAACACTTAGGGACCATTTGATATTGACTGAAATGGCTGAATCGAATAGCTTAATTTTTGTCTTTTAGTGGGTAAAGTAATTGAGTAATAAAATACTCAAGGGTATAGTAAACAACCCAATTTCAGCTTCTGCCATTAAGGAGCTTACAACCTCCTTAATAATTTATTCACTAAAAGGCAAGACAATAAGTCATTCAGTTCAGCCAATTTAATTGTTATCTAATGTCCCCTTATCTTCATTGAATGATGTAATAAAAGCTCAGATAAATTGGCTACAATTAATGATTACTGTCATTTTTCCAATATGCCCAGCTGAGAATTCCAGTTTATGATATCTTGATGTTCGACTGCAATTTTTTAACTCCATCCTAACCAATCTCTTGATCATTCTCATGCTCTAATTCCATTAACCCAAGCGACATAAAAGCTCCTCTAGGGTTTAATGCTGAGACCAGGTTGTTTTTTTTATATGCTCCATGTATTTGATGTTTGTCATGTGCACGATCAGTTGATCCAATTTTGTTAAACAGATACATTAGCCAATTAAACTTATTTTTTGTTGACAAGATTTGACAAAGTTCTATTTTATTTTATTTTTTGATCAGTAAGATTTGAGAAAGCTGCATTACTATATAATGCCATCGATTTCTTTAACTTTCTGGTATGAAATTAATTTTCTACTACCTTTTGCAGATACCCTAATCCTTCTGCATTTACTTATGAGAAGCGTCTTTTTCGCCCTTTTGAGTATGCTCTCCAGTCGCCATCTTGGTATAAACCAGAGCATATAGCTGTAAACAAGCCAGAATTACCTTGTTCAGCGTCTCAACTGAAGTGCTATGAGGGACCTCAGTGTTTTATTATTCCTGGAAACCACGGTTGGTGATAGCTTTCTGCCTGAATTTTCTTAAAATAAATTTATGGATATTTATCACCAATTGTTGTTTTAATCGGTTGACTTCTCTGTGTAATAGTTGTAGTAATTCTCACTCCCTTAATTGATAATCTGTTCTCAGTCTTGATGTAGTAAAGATTATTGTTATGATGTTTATCTAGCTGAGGTTCACTTTGTTGCAGATTGGTTTGATGGACTTCATACTTTTATGAGGTATATATGCCATAAAAGTTGGTTGGGTGGGTGGTTTTTACCCCAGAGAAAAAGTTATTTTGCTTTGCAGCTTCCAAAAGGATGGTGGATATTTGGTCTTGACCAAGCTCTTCATTGTGACATTGATGTGTACCAATTCAAATTCTTCTCTGAACTAACAAAAGAAAAGGTATTATCTATGAATTTGCTTTGATACCAGCTTATACCTTCAGGAGATGGTTTCAATGCACAGATAGGCCGAATTGTATTTGCATATAACATGAATAGATGAAATTGATGTTGGTTCTAATTAATTTTTAACATAAACAAATAGTTTCTTGTTATAGTACTAGTTTTTCACCAATTTGTGTAATTAAAATGGTTAGAGATTTGGCCTTTTACAGTGCGGTTCAGCCAACAATTTGACTGACACACACTTGCTTTAAAATTTACAGTATGCTGGAAAAGTACATGATCATTGTTTGCTATCAAATGATATTGTTTCCTTAATTTGCCTTTATTTTTATAGCTGAATAGCAATTTGGCATCCTATTATGTCATTTGATATTTTAACTGTCATGGTGATATGTTATCCCTAGACTGAATATGTTGATCGGTGAGCCCCTTGATTGACTACACTCTGAAGGAGCATCCTGTACCATGATAGTCTGAGACCATCTTATGGCCTCTGATATATTTTCCTAAGACTATACCATGTGAAGCCCATGTCTTTAATGCTGTTAGCCTTATATACAAGTAAAAAAAAGGAATGATGTCTTGAAAAAGATATGTTGGTCTGGTCCTATAGGTATCTAAATGTCTATAGATGCTAATTCTAATTGAAATTCTGAAGTGTTACTTTATATCTTGGCCATAGTTAATCATCTTAGCCATTATCATCTAAAGGCTAGAGAGGCTTACCTTAGTTTTATCCTACATTGAAGACATGAACACATTTCCACTCTATCAAAGGCCATAAACTTCTATCAAATTGTGTGCTTTCAGATCTTTTTGCACTAAATCCAATTCCTGTGCATCAGTCTAGATTAAAAATAATTATGCCTTTAGTTCTTGAGTTTTTTTCTTTAATTGCTGAAGCCTTTATTAATTTAAGCCTTTCATATGTTTTTTGGATGGCATGGCCGTCAAAAATCAAGAGTAGAGAGCCTTTTAAGGTTGTTTCCATGACATGATTGATGAGTATACAGCTTTTCATCATGGTCATGATTTGAAGCGTCTACACATTTTCTAGTGTTTCCACAACAAATTTGCATTTCTATGGGTACTGACACAAACTATTACTGGAACATATCTTGACATAGTACTCAGTATATACATTACAATCTTTAATATATTTTCAGCAAATTTACTTTGTTAATTATATTAATAATAGATTTTCAGTTCACATATATGTTGTTTTAATGTGATTATATTGTCTTTAAACCCATTATATTTTCATGTTTATCATTATAGATGACTCTTTCTCTTTTTGTTTTCCTTTATAAAATATTTTCAGTTGTATACAATTTAATAAAATATAGTCAATGCTTTAATATTTTGTACTTTTATGAAGGATAAACAATATCATAGCATAAGAAGAATATTTATATAAAAATCATAGCTTTTATCTTAAACAAAACATAATCCACTATAGTACTATATAATAATTTTTTAAACCTTTTAGTTTATTCTAAGTGGAGGAAGATGCCATCTTAAAATGGTATAATCATTTTAAAAGCACTATTTTTATTAATTTATAATGATGTAACCATTTAAAAGAATATACCCTTTTATAATTAAAAAATATATTAATAAAAAAGTGCCAAAGGTTAGGTCTGTATCTAGTCCATCCTCCTCAAGAGCATAGATAGCTAGGATCAACATTAGGTAATGACCTTTATTAATAAATATTTTCATATGTTAATATTTATAACATTATGAAATATTTCCAATAAATCTACATGGAATTTCCAATATTCCTGACAAATTTCTTATTTTTAAGTGGTTGATATTTCCATTGAAACCAGCATTCTAAACCCTGATCATAGCATGGTTTTCAAAACAGGAGGGGTTAAGTATCAATCAATCTGTAACTGTATAGAATTTGAACAACATGAGGGAGAAAGTGAAGTGGCAGAGGATCATGAGTTCATCACATGCACTCATGAAAAGCCAAACAAGTAGTAATTTTTACTTATAAAGTTATAATTTGGAGAGAATACCCACCCTCATACTAATACCAAGAATACTAGTGATGAGGTGGGGGAAGTGGCTTTGATATGATATTCATAACAATCAGTTTTTCATAGGGACCTAATCAAAGGATCCTTGCATGCTCAAAGACATAAAACAGTAATTTGGGAATTGTTTCAAACTTCTCCATTAAGTCCCTTTTGAGGTGTACCGCAAGAAGATCAACACCATTGACATGCTACAAAAAAGAAGACCTCTCTTATGCTTATCCCCAAATTGGTGAAATCTATGTAAATCCAATGAAGAATCTCCATTTGCAAGGAGGATCTTGTTGGAAAAGGACCACCTCCCTTTTGGTTTGAAAACATGTGGTTGTGTCATCTGGGGTTCATTCAAAAGATTAGAGAGTGGTGGGGGGTGAGCAGCCCAAGAGTTGAATGGAGAGGGATGAGATTTCATAGGAAGTTGCAAGACGTAAAGTCCAAAATCAAGGAGTGGAGCATTCTGGAGTTTGGGAGGATTAAAGAGAGGAAGGTATCATTGATTAACCAAATTGAGGAATTAGATAAAAAGGAGAGGGATACCTTTGATGAAAGAGATAAAGAAACAAGATGATCCTTGAGGAAGCAATTGGAAGATGTTCTCCATAAGGAGGAAATAAGTTGGAGACAGAATCAAGGCATAAGTGGATTAAGGAGGGGGATAGAAATACCAAATTTTTCTATGCAATGGTTGTTAGAAGAAGAGGAATAATATCTCAAGATTAGTGGCTGATGGGGTTTCTTTAACACATCAAAATGAGATAGCAGGGGCTTTTAAAGAACATTTTAGATCAATCTACATAAGACCTTTAAGGGAAAGAGTATGGCTTGAGGGGATTGATTGCTCGAGGATCCCAAGTGAAATGAAGAGCTGATTGGAGAGGAGATTTGAGTAGGGGAAATTAGGGAGGCCGTCTCCTCCATGGATAGATGAAAAGCACCAAGACTAGATGGTTTCACAATGGCCTTCTACCAAGGTTGCTAGGATATTATGGAGGAAGATCTGTTGGGAGTGTTTGAGGAGTTTTATGAAAGAGGAGTAACTAATCTAGGCCTTAATTTGACTTTCATTGCTTTGGTACCAAAGAAAAGTGATGCAACACATCTTCGTGAGTTTAGATCCATTAGCTTGGTGACCAGTCTCTATAAAATTATAGCTAAGGTCTTTATCTTTGAGGATTAGGGTTGCTCTCCCTTTTATTATCTCTCCAAATCAGGGTGCTTTTGTAAGGGGTAGGCAAATAATTGACCAAATCCTAATTGCTAATGAATGTGTGGAGGATTTCAAAATAGCTAGGAAGAAAGGCTTTTTTTGTAAATTGATTAGGAGAAAGCTTATGATATGGTGGATTGGTCCTTGTTGGAAGTTGTGAGGAATTTTGGATTTGGGGAGAGATGGTGTAAATGGATAAGAGGATGCGTTAAGACCTATCATTACTCCTTGTTGGTGAATGGAACTATGGTGGATTTCTTCCCAACCTTAAGAGGGATTAGACAAGGAGATCCCCTATCTCCCTTTCTTTTCACTCTGATTGTTGTGGTCCTCAAAATGCTTATTGCTAGGGCAGACTCACATGAGTTGTTGAGGGGTTGGAAGGTTGGTCGTGGCAATGTTCCAATTACACATTTTGCAATGTGCAGATGATACTGGATTAGGAATCTCAAGTTGATAGTATAACTTTTTAAGTTAATTTCCAATCTCAAGGTGAACTTAGACAAATGTTGCATTGTGGGTGTTAATATGGAAGAAGGGGAGATACTGGAGCATGCAAACATCTTGGGATGTGAGGTGTCATAATGACCGCTGAAGTATTTAGGACTTCCTTTGGGGGATAATTCAAAAAAGAACAGCTTTTGGGACCCTGTAGTAGAAAGATTTGTTAAGAGACTTACATTTTGAAAGAAAAGCTATTTTATGTCTTTAAGGGGAAGGATCACATTAATAAGAGCTACATTGGAAAAGTTGGTGAGGGACTTCTTGTGGGAACCAGGGGAGGAGAAAAAGACCATAGAGTTAGTTGGGAAATGGTGAGTAGAAGCAAGAAGTTTGGTGGGTTGGGTTTAGGCAATTTACGAAAGAGGAATATGTCTTTATTGGGAAAGTGGCTTTGGAGGCTTCCTATTGATAAGGACAAGCTTTGGGCTAAGATAGTGATTGGCATCCATAGGCTTGCAACTGATGATTAGGATGCTGAATTACTGATGGAGGATACTAGAGCCTCTCCTTGGAAGGCCATCCATGCTATCCTCTCATCTTTCCTATCTTTTGTTAGGTATGACCTTTGTTCTGGTAACCTTATAAAATTTTGGGAATTGGTGTGGGTGGGTAATCTATCTTTGAAAGAAAAATTCCCCTCTGTTTTTGCCCTGTCAAGATATAAAGGTAAACCTATCTCCTCTTTCGTGGTTCCTTCAAGCTTGGCGAATGGTGTTGATTGGGATTTAGGTTTGAGGAGGGGTGTGAGGGATTTGGAAATTGATTATGTTTTGGACTTGCTTCATATCCTTAATGGGGTTTACTTGGATTCATCTAAACTTGACAGTTGTATTTGGACCCTATCCTCCTTTGTTGTCTTTTCTTGTGCCTCTTCTTTAAGGTACTGATTCAACCTTTTGACTCTTTGGGAATACCTTTCTCGGTGAAGGAGGTATGAGGTAACCCCATCCCCCCGAAAGTTGGAGGTTTTACTGGAAAGAATTAGTACTTGGGATTTACTCCAAAGAAAAAGAACTAATAGGCACTTATCCCCACACTGGTGTTTTATGTGTAAGGCTAGTGGATAAACTTGCTTTCACTTATTGATCTCCTTCCCTTTTTGTAGCTTTTATTTGGGAGTGGTTTTTCTCGTTGTTAGGGTGTAGGTGGTCCCCCCGGCTAATATGCAAAGCTTATTTGCTTCTACTTTCTTGAGATGGCCAAAGAAAAGGGGGCGAGTGTTATGGAGATGTGTAAGGG